CCACTCTGAGAAGCTCTAGTTTGGGCCAAGAACAGGATCTTGGAGGAGGCGCCTGTCCCCATGCTGGGTGGATTCAGTGCCCTATTGGCTGTGTGCCTTCCCACCAGGTGCTGGGGAGGACCTAGCTGGTGCACCCTGGGCTGGGCTGCCTCCCCTGCCCTTGCAGGGAGATGCTATCCGGTGCCTTCCTGGAGTGCCAGGGGACTAAGTGGGAAAGACCAGCTGTTTCCCAAGCCCAGACTAACAGAAAGGTGGTTTTGCTTTTTGCCAAAGATACTTGCTTTTTAAATTATAGGAGTAACATACATGTACTGTAAGAATTCAAACAATGAACATAGGAGTATAAAGGTTTAAAAGAAATTTAAATAACCTCTTTCTGCTTCATTCTTCTAGTTCCAAGCCCTGGAATGAATGGCCTCAATTTGGTGTAAATATTCCATATATTTTTATATTTATCCATAAGAATATCTTTATATCTTATCCAAAGCATGTGCTCCAGTAGTGTTATTTCAACACCATTTTTTTAAATATCATCTTGCCCTATGTGATTGCAGAGGTGATCTTAGATGTAAATTAAGGAAACATACAGTAATCCCCTTCCTCTTGATTTCCCTGTCCTGCTGCAGCCAGGGGCAACCTCTGCAGAAGGGACTCAGCTCAGGAGCAGGGTAAGAGGACTCAATGTACAGTTTGTTTCATTTTTATAATTACACATAGAGGGTCACTGGCCGGGAAGAGGTGGGAGATGCCCTGGAAGACTGAGGAGCTCTGCCCTTTGGATCCCTAACCTGTCCTTCTCTTGGACCCCAGATCCCTCCAGAGTGTTGAAAGCCCCTGCCCACACTGCACTGCGCTGACCTGGGATCTCTGTAGGACCCCAGCTCAGCGGCCTGTCCTAGGAGGCAAAAGTTCTCTGGGAACCTCACCTGCCCAGCTGGGCAATGCTTCCTCAGAAGCCCCAGGAGGCTGTCCTTGACCTACAGGTTACCTAGGCCCAGCAGTCAGACACCAGCTACCAGAGGCTGCAGGAGCTTGAGGCAGGTCCCTCCAGCCCAGCCCAGGAGCCCATGCAAGCCCTCAGAAAGGCAGGAGAGATACAGCAATGGCTGCTGGAGGGCTCTGTATTGAGAGCTGCAGCAGGCCTTGAGGGGCTGCGCCTGGCAGGAGGGCGTTATCTGCCAATCTCCTCTGCTTTG